TGTAGGGAGAAAAAAATAACATAAATTCACAGTGTGGTAACAGAGAAGTAATGATATAATTTCTTTTGTTATTTACAGATAATAAAATTACTCAGTGGGAAGACCCCAGACTGCAGAACCCGGCAATTACTGGTCCAGTAAGTACTGCTATGGGGTTTTTTTCCATTAAATGCCGTGACTCAACGTACATTTGGTGTAGGCAGGAGGCATTGTCGAGCAGCAGGTCATGCCTGGTCTCCAGATCAGGTCAGAGTCTGCCTGATGAACAGACCAGGGAGCAGGACCTCTGCCTTGCATTGCCTTTTCCTGACGGACATGGGAGGCTCAGGTGCCAGCTTTCGTGAGTCTGCAAGGGCAGGGGGAGCTACCATCATGTGACAACCTGCCAGGGTGCCCCAAAACTGATGCCTTCTCCCCGGCATTCAGGTGGTTTTACCACTCTGTCGACCCTATTTGGTTACACACAGGCTGGAGTGCCCTGGGGACTCTTCCAGCCAGCTGCCACCGGCCCAAAGCAGTAGTGGGCTGATTAGGAATCACTGGAACATTCGGAACTACACTGCTGTGCTCCCTATTCCCAGGTCAAACAATAGGCTCGAATTTGATGGGTTTGGAGGCTTTCCTAGCAGTAACTACCTAGCTAGGGAATTTTTCCAGTGGTACAGTATGATTCCTGTCTTGTAGCCATTATGTGAGAAGTTGGTTTCTGCCTTGGAGAGTCTAGGAAACGATCGGTAGATACGACAGTGAATCGCAGAATATCTCTGTTTCTGCGAGGAGGAAGAGAAAGCTCTTCAGAAGAATAGAGACTCTTGTTTGGCTGGTTTTCATTTTTTATATTGTTGTGTTATTTCTGAATGAAGCTCCATCCATTCGGAAGCTGCATAGCTAAGTAGTCTGAATGGTGGTTCATGCTCCAAAACACACAGAAACCCATCATTTCTCATTTGTTCCATTCTCCGCTTCCTTCAATCCAAAGCTTTCTGCACGAAGTGCAGTGTGATTTCTGAAAAAGATCCATTACTGATGTGATCCCTAGCTGAAAAGTAAAAAATTTAAGATTTCAACATGGGTTTTGTTGTTGTATTTGCTGCTTATTTTGATGATGAAATTCCAGGACGAAAGTAGTAGAGTGGTATCTTTAGCTTACTATTGGCATCCAAAAGATGAATGCATGGAAAAAATCCAATTTTATTTAAATGATATCTAAAATAATGTAAGTGTAAAATATTGTTCAGATTTTTTTCTTTCTTCACACTTGCTGATATTATAAATTACTTAGTATGGAACAAACAATATTAAATCTTTGCATCTTATCTTTTATTCCTCCATTGTGTTAAAATAGTATGGTTCTATATTAAGCTATGTGAAGGGCACCTGTCTGCTCCAAATCATAAGTGAGATCATCTTGGGAATTTCAGACCAAGTTCCCTGTGCTGGATCCTAGATTGTAAGGTTTTAGGGATGTGTATATGAGAAATGTTCATATTTACCCGTTATCTGGGTCGTTAGTGACAACAGAATTTTACTGAGCTGAGACACTGTGCTATTCATTTTTTGGTTTCTGGATAATAAAAAGCTGCTTCCACTCAATATGGGAGAGTTGTGACTATGTGGATTCAGAGTCTAAAAAAGACAAAAATTGGACCTGTCAGTTTTAAGAGACATAAAACTTACTGCAAATAAACCAAGAGATTTCATAATATCTGCCTTAGAAAAAATAAATACTTGCTTTTACTTTAATACCAGATTTTCAAAACATCAAATATCTGGAGTCACTCTTTGACCTTTTTATGCTGGTTTATGCCAGTGTATAGCATTTTATGGTATTCTGAGTGATCAGACTTCCAACCCGAAGAGGTTTCCAGGTGCCAAGAATACCTTTTTATTTGGGGTGAACCCTTAGGATTTTTAAGGGTCTCAGGACACAGCAGATTAATGCCTGCATGGTGTAATTCCAACTGCTCTTGTTTATTAATAAGATTAATAATAATTGCTTGTTTGAACGTAATTGCTTTTGCAGTGATTTACCCATTTATCATGCACTTAATGCTTGAGATGCTACTATGCAGTATGCTATACAAATTCTTAATGTTTATTTTCCCAGAAATGTTAAGCATAAATGAGAAAGACTATCTGGGAAATTTTTGTCAAGATAATAAGGTTCAATCATGTTCCCATTAAGTAAATAAGAGTTATTTGTGTGTTTGTTGTTTGGGTTGGGTTTTTTTTTTTCTTTAAAGAGAAAGCAAGATCAAATCCATTTTACAGCCAATATAAGCTGTAAAAGATTCATCTTAATGCTTTTAATAGTATTTTTGGTGCCATGACAAAAGCAAAGAACTACTTAAATTGCATCTCACGTTGCATTTAAACAATGGAAACATGTTGAAAGATTATTTAATGGCTGTAGTAAAGTCATATTATCATCAGAATAAAATTATTTAGTTTGGGGTTTTATTTTTCATGCCTCATCATCCACAAGAGAAAACTCATATGGTAATATTTCCACCTCCTGCTCTCACCTACATCCAGTCAGGAATCTACTCCAAGACCAGCCCATACCTTCCCTCCCCCAAATCCCAGTCCTCACCCTGAAACTGAACTTGAACCAGAGCTTTGCAATTTGTGATTCAGCCTTCAGGGAACAGAGAATGTAACTTTTGCAGTCCTGTGGAATTCAAAATCATTCTTTGGGTCCCAAGAAATCACACCTCATTTGTTTAGCTAGTTGTTTTACTAGGTCTACTCTTTCATCTTGAAAGAACAGTAGAGCAAAGGAAAGTAAGGGTGTAGTTGGAAAGTACTCCGATCGAGGCCAGGAAGCCTTTTTTTTTTTTTTCTTTTGTTTGTTTTCAAGGCGCTTTCCAAACCCTGTTTAAATTGATGTTGTTGTATGTGGTGTCAGAAAACAGAGAATTAAGGATTCTTAATTCTCAAAAAAATTAGTTGTAAAAAAAACCCATAGAGAATTACAGAATCTTACTTAAATACATAGCAGTTATTTGTAAGAACCAGACCTGTGTCTGTTATCGTATCACTTTTCCAGCCCGTTCCTGTTCGTTGGTTTAATTCACAACTTTGTTTTACGGCCACTTCATCTGAAGGCTGAGTAAGGTAGATTGGGGTATGGGTGGCTCGGACCTGTGCTCCTGCCTGATGGCTGATGCACTTCACTGCTTTTGAGTCCGGTACTACTTGGCACCTTAAAAGCCTTGGCCTTTTTGGACGTTTGCATGCGTTTCCTATCTGGTGCAAAAGCGTCTGATGAAGACAGGTAGGTAGCAGGAAGGAACACTGTCATCTTACTGACTGCTGCGGTGGTCAGCAAGTGGCGAATGGATTAGCATCAAACACGGCAATCTTCTAGCTCAGTGTCAAATGCTTGCTTACCTACACAGTGTGTTAGCAGGAAAGAGCAGCACAGTGTTAAAGGAGAAATGTCTTTCAAAACTGAATGACAGAGCTTGTGAGAACCTTTGTTGGACCTTGATTTGCGCATTCTGGAATCATCCTGAGAAGCCTTTCAGGTATCTGGAAATCCACCTCAATATTTCAGAGGCCTGTGGCCTTTGTTAAGGGCTGTTTACATATGCCAGAAACCAATTTCTAGCTCTGCTGATTAATGTAATTCTATCAACCTTCACTGTGCCTTTTTTTTTTAAAAAAAACTTCTGCAATTGTTCAGTTATGCTGCTGTTACTTAAAAACGTGGCCTAACTCACAGGCAGCTGCATTGAGTACGTATTCAGACAAATATTACACAGTGACTTGTACTTGGTTCAAAAGAATCTTAGTTTATTTATTGAATGCTTCAGATTCTGGATTAAAGACATTGTGAAGGTGTATATTTTCATTCTAAGTAATTTACAAAATAGTTTTGATGATAGTTTATAACTATTAAGAATTAGATTCGTTCACTATGGGCTGAAAAGATAATTTCAAGCCGTGGACATTGGGCTGCCTGGTTAACTCTGTTGTGTAGGTATACGTGGTGTCCTGCACTTTTTGGAGAGCAGTTTGTTCATGTCATAGCTTTACTGGAGCCCCTTAACTTGTTCTTAGCTTCATTTTCAAGATTAATTTTGTGTCCTTTGAGTAGCACCTAGCAGTGCTTAGCACTTTCAGCTGTGCAAATCCGTGTTCTGTGGTAACACTAGTCTTTTTTAAAATTCAGCATCGTATAGCATGTGCGTTATTTCCTAACGAGACACACGGCTGGCAGCAGTACATTTCAGGGGTTTTTTTTGTCTGTGTTAAATTTTTTTTTTTGCTCTTTTCTGTTCCTAAAAGAAAAAAAAAAGATGCAGGTAAGTAGTTGATAAACAGAACAACTGGGTCAAAAGTTTTCATACCTTTAACTTGAATTACACACTGAGAAATGGGAAAATTTTGGCTGCTGTACTTCATGCATGGTGGGTTTTAGATGAACCTGTGGCGTACATATGTAGATGACATGTCTTTAAATTTCTTTTTTGTTTAAATAATGTTGGAATATCAAACGGCTAAATAGCTGGAATAATCTGTATTTATGATTCTCTCTCTGATAGGCAGTTCCATATTCCAGGGAGTTCAAACAGAAATATGACTATTTCCGGAAGAAGTTAAAGAAACCAGTGAGTAGAAGCATGCTGCTTTGTGTTGGAATCAATTACGCTGTGTCTGGGAGAAACAACAGCCTGTCCCAAGCACAGATGCACAATGGTGTTGTATATTGCTAGAACACACTGGCCAATTTTTCTTGATTGTGCTACTCCTAAAGGTGTTAAGTAGGAACCGAAAAAATGAAGAAAAGTTTAAATTTGATGGATTTCGCAACAAAAGCATTTACAAATCTTTAAGACTCTCATTTTGCTATATGAATGCAAAATCAAAGTGATGAGGCAGCAAGGAAGTAGCAGTGATTCGCTATTTCCCACTGCAACTGAGACTAATTGGTATGTTCGTTTGTAAGCCTTTAGGCTGGAAACAGGCTTGAGGATTGGTATTTCTCCTTCATCTTCAACAGTGGGCTTTGAAGGGCAGAGCTGGACAAGCTGGCAGAGCAGAGTCCGCAGTTGTGCTGGATCTGGCACAAGCTTGTGGTGTTCTTGTTCTGTGAAAAAAGTGTTTTCAGTAACATCCTTACTGTAAGAGAGCGCCCAGTGTTAGCTTGCATGTGATACTGGCTCATAATTAACAGCAGGCAGCCTTGGCTACACCAGCTATCATTTGGAGAGGGACTTGCTAATATCTTTACCTGTTTCTTGATAGCTCCTTGAATTTTCTTCTTGAGTTTGACACGTGATTGCACACAATAAGCACTTCAGTTGTCAGGAAAAAGCAAACTTCCAAAGCAGTAGTTTTAAGTCAGTTTTTTCAGGAAAATTATACATGGCTGTAACAGCCAACCACGTTTATCTGTTCATCCAGTCATCTACAAATTCTTAACTTGGTTCTCTTTTGTCTTTTCTGAATTTAGCTCCCTGGGCTAAATCATAATGGGCGTTAGCTCCCTCCTATTTAGGCAGAACTTCTAAAACATTTTGGGAGCCTGATTCTTATTTGTTTGCATCTCTGCAATTCAGTTCTGTTTGTGTGTATGGTACTGCAGGTGTTTTTGTTGTGAAACTGTCCTGGCCTTTACAGACACATAGTAAAGCAGTTGCATAAATGTTGTGCATTTGTTACCATTTTAAGCTAAAATGCCCTCAAAACAGAACATAGTAATATCAGTCGTTTTTTCACTTGTTTGTTTGTTTGTTACTTTTCTTGTTGTTTTCATTGTTTGGTTGAGTATCACAGAAATCTCTGAACTGCTGTACTGGAACTTACCAAGTTCACCATGTGCTATCAACCTGTAGACTTAGAGAGCACTGGAAAACAAAGATAAGGGGAAAGTTTATACATCAGGTGTCTAATCTGTCATTTAGTTGTTACCACTGGTCAGTAATTTGCCTGAAGACTTACTGAGACTAACAAGTATAATATAATCTTCTTCTACCTAGGCTGATATACCGAACAGATTTGAGATGAAACTACACAGAAATAATATTTTTGAGGAGTCCTACAGAAGAATCATGTCTGTGAAGAGACCTGATGTACTAAAAGCCAGGCTCTGGATTGAATTTGAGTCAGAAAAAGGACTTGACTATGGAGGTGTGGCCAGAGAATGGTTTTTTCTCTTGTCCAAGGAGATGTTTAACCCTTATTATGGTCTCTTTGAATATTCAGCAACGTAAGTGTCCGTTAAAATATTTCCATTCATAAGGGATATATGCTAGATTTTGCATGAGAGGCAAAGTTACACTGGAAAGTAGTTAGATCATCCTTCATGGTGCATCAGTATGCTCTCTTACCAGTCAAATCTCTCTGTTCTGTACTATCATTTCTTACTTGCTTTTCAGAGAACCTTTCAATTGTCATTGAAATCTCATAAAACATTTTCATTATTAGGACAATATTCAGTGTTGCCTTGCTTGCAGCAAAACTGCAATTTTGAGGCTAGTAATAGTGAAGGAAGATAGGTCAGACAAAAGAATCTTTTTATGCCCCCCCTGTTACATTGTAAGACACTTGCCGTCCAGAATTACAGTACTCCTTTATAATTAGCTCACAAAACAACTTCTCATCTACATTTCAGCACTTACACAGCAGTGGCCTTACATAAGTTTAAATTTGGTTTTGTCCAATTTTAAAATCTTTGAGCAACCCAGTAGTGTAAATGAGACAGCAAGTTTCTTGCTTAAAGTACATTTGTTTTAAGATGCTGTATGTAATTCCACATTGTGTACTTAGCTACAGTGAGGATGGATGGATTTCTTAATTGCAGGCAGTAGTTTTGGTGTTTTTATGTCAATATCAAGCTCACTCCTTTCTCTAGTAAGTGCTGAATAGATTGTAAAGTAGATGAACAAAGACTGCATAATGAGAGTTTTCTCGCATTTGTGTCTCAAAAGACATTCTGCTGTTGAAGGGAAACACGACTTAAACAACATTGACTAGCACAGAATGCCTGTGTGTTAATAGAGTTCACTGGATAAACATTTGTTTTGAAATATTTCCACTTACGAGATAGAGGTCACCGTAGGTATTTTAAATATAGTGTTATTTCATTTTAGGTTCAGAAATCTAACTATTTATTTTAAGAAATAAGAAAAAAAATCTACTTAAAAACCCTGTATCTTTCTTCACAGATGAAGAATATACTGCAAATTAAAAACACTGCTTTTACACTAATGTCTTATTGTGACACATGCTTTCACATGAGTGTTAGTGCTTTGTTACCAGTTAAAAGATCTTAGTCCTTTGATGGCTTTTTCCAATATCCAGGGGATTAAGCGTATTTCAGAGGTATTCTCTAGTACGTGCAGTTGAAGATGCTAGAATCTCAAGTTGCTAGTATCTATTCTTTATGCTAGGGCAGTTGACCATGGGCCTATACTTAATTCCTCTTCAGTACCTTCAGATATTTCAAGAACTGGAAGCAACTACTGCAAAAGAGAGTCCTAAAAATTTAAAGCCCTGAAATTTGGCTGGGAAGAGTGACTAATCAAGCGCAGGAGAAGGCAGAAGAGATAGCATAGCTGAAATTCTCATTCCACTAAGCTGGTGGCAAAATTTTACTGTTTTCAATGATGCCAGGCTTTTATCACAGTCCTCTTAACTTGCCACAGGGGGAATCCTGTTACTGCACAAGCTGGAGTTTTAATTACCTTTGTCAAGTAATCATTACGGTCGTAACAAGACGGTTTTGGTTAGGTCAGCCTGCCCACAAACTGTCAGCTACTTCTGTTGAGGAACACATGGATAAATTATTACAGTCTTGCAAAAATGAACAGGAAATGGTCTTAAGATCAAGTTATTTATTAACATATCTGAATATCTGGTTATTTAAAGACTTGGTTATTTAGATATTTTTTTTCTTTTCCCAAAAAAGGGACAACTATACACTTCAGATTAATCCTAATTCAGGTCTTTGTAACGAAGATCATCTGTCGTATTTCACATTTATTGGTCGGGTTGCTGGTCTGGCAGTATATCATGGGAAGCTATTGGATGGTGAGTCATTACACTGCATGGCTATGCTACTGTTCCTGGACTTTTATTAAATGATATAAATCACTGCAATAATTCATATGCTTTAGAGTGTAGTCTTTCGGGAGACAAAGTCTGAGAGAAGGTAATGGAACTGGAACCGTTGGAAATTGCATTCCTGATGTGAACAGTGATTCAAAAATTATAGTGTCTTACTCAACAGATACGTTTCATATAAAGTTTTGCTCCTTTCTCCACTTGTGTTAAAACTACCGAATCAGCATTGCTAAATAATCACTATCCGTAAAGGAAAATCACTAAATTTATATTGGCCATTTCCATGCAAACCTGCAGCCAAAGCAGTTGGGTGGGTGTCAATTGCAGCATATTTTGATCTGTGAAATTATTACTGAATGATGTAATGAGAAAATACAATTTCTGCCGAACCTTGAAATCCCACAATAAGCAAGCAAACAAACATTATAAACTGACCAAATTTTATTCAGCAATAGTGCAGCGCATTAGAAGAGGAAGCTCACTGTCCTGTTTTTCTAGCATCTCCTTTGAGAGAAGAATAGCAATTTTAAATGGATTAGCGTACCTTGAGCTCAATTCCCCATCTTTTGTGTCTCTCTACCATTAATGTTATGGTGTTTAATGGCATAAGATAATCAATGGCGTAATTCTTGTAATTGAAAAACTGGACTTTCTGTGCCTAAATAAAAAATGAGCCTGCTGCGTTAACTTGAGCAGTTACAGCACTGTTACTTTCAGCAGGTTTCTTTCTTGCTGGCATGCTAGGAAATCCCATGGCGTATTATCCTTGAGCAGTCGTATCTTTATGTAAGGTGAAAATGCAGAACTGGAGGTAACGCTCTTCTCTCGCTTTTAGGCTTCTTCATCAGACCTTTTTACAAGATGATGCTGGGGAAACCAATAACTCTGAAAGACATGGAGTCAGTGGTAAGGTAACATTTAAACTATATCAGCATTAGCAATTAGGTGGGCTTTTTTTCCCCTGGGGAAATTTGTAAGAGCTAACAATTCCAGTAAACTGCATGGTGGAAAACACCAGGTCATAGTGTTGCAACAGCTTTAGAAAGATATGCACGTACTTTTTTAATAAATCAAATTTTCCCTGCTAGGACACTGGTTTCAGTACCAGGGCAGTAACAGTGGTGAGAAGGACAAGGGAGAAGAGACCTGAACAGGCCAGTAAGGAACACAAGATAAGATGCCTAATTACACCTTCAGATTTCCCACTGGGTCAGCTTTCTCCCTGTCACACAGCGCACCACCACCAAGCCCTACGGCTTTCTTGTCATGCTGCGGCGCAGGAATGGGGGGGATGCAAGGGCTTAGTTCTGACCTGGCAACACGGGAAGTTGCCCACGCTGCTGGAAGGAGAAAGGATTGCCAAATGATAAACTGTTTTCTCCAAAATACACTTAAGGAGTGCAGCACAACTTAGGCCCTTACCTCTGTTTTGGTCCTCTACTTTCACACCTTCGCCAGTAATTGCAATCAAAATCTTTTGTGTTTGGCACTCCCTGGGGGAAAACCGAATTGTTTTACAAGTTGGTAATCTCTAGCTTTGTGTTGTAAAATGAAGGACAACAGCAAATAGGATCCTGTGGATGCCCAGTCTAGATGTGTAGTGTACCAGCGTGGGAACACAGCACATTTCAGATAGTGCAATAGATAAATACAAATGGTTTCCGTTAAGGTAGCAGCATGATACTTGGTTTTGTCTTTTTAACCTTTTGAGGCTGCCCAGTTTTCCCACTGCTAAGGACTTTGCAGAACCTTGGAGCTGTTATTTTTCCCCTTTCTAAAGTCATCTTCTGTTACCCCAGAGCACAGAATAGTTTCTCTGGGTAAGGCGGCTCCAGATTGCCTCCGCAAGGGCAGGAGCGGGTTGTGAGCCTGCCCACTCGCATCCTGCACTTCCCTGAGACTGTCTTCAGCAGCCAGGTCAGTTGGCTCACGAGCCCAGCACAGAGGCAAAATGACAGAAGACGAGAAGGCTTGAGCTCAAGTACAAGCTTAAAACCGAGCTCAGGAGAGGCACATCCAGAAGGATCTTAAAAGGAAGTTCAGGCTCTTGTATTCCTGCAAGTCGCTGGGAAACCTTTTCCTCTAATTCTTAGCTCTGCAATAGCTGTCCTTGGTCTTGTCAAAAGTATACTCGGTATAAGAATAAAACGCAGTTTATTCTCTTTGATGTTTTAGAGTTTACAGATTTTCAGTTACTGATGTAAATGCTGGTTCAACTGCTTAATCTCTCCTCTAGCACCCAGTATCTCATAGTTACCAAATTTTGGCAGGTCATTCTTCTCTTGAAGCATACATGAGTAAATAATGTTTTATCTTTATTTTGAAATTAATTTTTTTGGCTCTCTTGCTTGGAAATATGTCATGATAGCTCCACATACTTCACCCTCCCCCTTTTTTTTTTCCTCAGGTCAGTCTTTAATTATGAACCTGAGACATGATGAAGATACAGCCCTTTTAGGAAATTAGAGGGGTCTTTTATTCAGCAAACTTCAAGACTTTTTGTAATAACAATGCAGTCAGTTATTGTATAATATATTACCAATGCAATGAAATGGTAGAGAAATTGTGTTGAAAAGAATGTACAGTTTTATCAAGAAGACATTTTCTAACCAACCATTTCACACCGCTATATACATATTTACCTAATAGATATGTAGAGTCAATTTATTTTGTTGTATAATAATGCAATTACAAGTCAATTAAGAAACGTTAACATGAATCTAAAAATGTAGCATCTAAGAAAAAGGCCCTGCTTTACAGTAGCTGTGCGAATAATGAGTTCTCATCTTTGCAGTCCCTTTGGAGTTGTAGCTTTAGATGTTTTTATTTGCTCAATGTAAAGTTAAACTATACGTTTTCAATGTTCACTTTTTCAAACTTTGTTTAATTGCAATCTACTGTAGGATAGCGAATACTACAACTCCTTGAAATGGATCCTGGAAAATGATCCTACAGAGTTGGATCTCATGTTTTGCATAGATGAGGAAAACTTTGGACAGGTATGTAAAGGTTATCCCAAAAGTCCGTATTTCCATCTTATTATTGGTTATTGCCAAAAAGTCATTAAATAGTGCGCAGCATCTCACGGTTGTGAACTTGCTCAGGACTGTTGGATGTTAATGATCAGTATGGGCAGACTATGAATATTAACCTCGCTTTCTTCCTGAACGGTCTAAGGCTGGGGGGGCCAAAGAAGGAAATGATGTTGTTGTCAGTGAGCAATACGACATCTTTGTGAAAAGCAGTACTGGAAGCCGAGTAAAGTACATGCAGTGAGGAGTAATAAAGGTGTTACACCGTCCATCTTCAAAAATGGTCTCAGCCTGGGACTGTTTGGGATTTTATAGGTTGAGGATGTTCTCAAAGACAAAGTAAGCGGTAGAATTATAATTAGTGAAGTGCTTTCTTTATGGTGTCTTTTATATAATGCAGGCAGATGATACAGCAAAAGGAAGCATGCCTATTTTCAAAACATTATCTACAATCTGGGATAACTTTCTCCATTACAAATGAAAAATGGCAGATACATTTTTAACAACTGAGCTGAAGTCATAACTCATTTTATCAGTAGAAGCTGTGACAACAGCTTATGCTACAGTTTGTCTTGGATTTGCAGTTGGCCTTTACAGAGAATCATAGAATCATAGAATCGTTATGGTTGGAAGAGACCTCAAAGATCATCACATCCAACCGTATACCCGATGCCACCATGCCCGCTAAACCCACTAAACCATGTCCCTAAGCACCACATCTAAACGTTTTTTGAACACCTCCAGGGATGGTGACTCCACCACCTCCCTGGGCAGCCCGTTCCAATGCCTAACGACTCTTACAGTGAAGAAGTTCTTCCTAATATCCAGCCTGAACCTCCCCTGGCACAACTTGAGACCGTTTCCTCTCGTTGTATCGCTAGTTACCAGGGAGAAGAGACCAACCCCTGCCTCACTACCCCCTCCTTTCAGGCCGTTGTAGAGAGCGATCAGGTCTCCCCTCAGCCTCCTCTTCTCCAGACTAAACACCCCCAGCTCCCTCAGCCGCTCCTCGTAAGGCTTGTTCTCCAGGCCCTTCACCAGCTTTGTTGCTCTATTAAAATCTCTATTAAAAAAAACTTCAGAGAGCTGTACCAGCTTCTGGATGGAAATAACTTGGGTGCAGATAAATGACTTGTACATAAGTATATGTGTTAAATTTAATTTGAGGACTTAAAGGCAAATAAATCATGAGTTTATTTACATGAGCTTGTAACTTACTTGCCTATCATTACTGGGGTGTTTTTTATTTATTTGCAAGCTGTGGAGCTGAACCATTTTGTAATGCACGCGCACATGTAGTGACTAAAACATACTGGTTTTGTACCATATTGGCACTTACCAATACCAACCTATGTCTCTTAAATAGGCTTTTATGGCCTTTTTTTAGTGTCTTCACTTCATTTATCTCTTAGACCTAGATGCCTTGGCTCCAAGTCCCCCTGGTATTGTGGACCACGGTGCCTTTTTTAAAAGCCGACTTCAAAACATACACGCACAATGTACTGTCAAGGACATTCTCATCCACTTCTCAGTGCTAACTGCTTTTTTCCTGAAGGAACGTAAGGTTATCGGTTACGTGGAAAATTAAAACCACAGGATGAAGAGTTTTTGAAATACGCTGGGTTGTTTGTTGGTAATTTTCATTATATTGTGTTCTGTAACAATTTAGCTTCAAATTCTTCATAGCTTTTCACTGCAAGCTTTCACTTCTCCTGGCAGAAGTTTATTCCCTGACTCAAAGCATAAATCAACATACTTTGAGATACTTTCTGCTCTTCTATGAACTCTTCTAGTACCTCAAATAGCTAAGTCTGGCATTGCCAGCAAGATTGATTTTTGTTTCATTTACAATAGATGCATCTGATTCCAGAAGAAAATAATACTGTTTCCATCATACTGCTGGTGAGATGCAAAATTGGCATGACAAATTTTACCGAAGCAAAGCCCGAACAAAGACAGGATATGCTATAGTGGGGAGGAACTTACCTAGCTAGAGACTGAAACAGCTTACCAATTACAAATGCACGTAGGATGCTTTCCAGCAATTCAGAAGTTATGGCAGATATTGACTACGTTGTTTTTCTCTGCACATACCACTGGCCATTGGCAGTGCGCTGGGGACTACCAGAAGTCAAGGGACCCTGCCTCACTCCTGGCACTTCTTTTGCCTCAGCTGCTGCTGAACTACGGAAACTTCGTAAAAGTGCCCTTGGGAACCTGAGTAGGAGATGATACTGCTTCCACAAGGACATTGTGTATTGCATTGCTAGAAGCTTCTATCTTTATTTATACTTCATTTATCACCAAAACCTCTTCTGGTGTTAGAAAGAAACAAGAAAATTCTATCAGATCTTATCTTGTTATTACCATTCCTTACTTAATAACCAAAGATAAGGTTTCCATAGTTCTCACAAGTCAGTAAGAAACAGACAGTAGGTATTTTCGACATGTAAAGGATGGAGAGCGGTCTTCGAAAAGCAGAGAAAGAAAAGGTCTCTATTTCTCCTAAGTTCTTAATGGCTCTGGAATACTGTTTCTCATTTCTTTAAAAACAGTCTGTCTTCTGGGGGGCAGGAAGAAGCAAGCACTCAGAAGCGTTCTGTTTGTGCCATCATGCCTGGGATCTTCATCACTTTGTCCTGTTTAAATGTGACAGTGTAGTAAACCTTTCCCTTATTAGTTCTGGACTGTCTTCTCTGGTCTTTATGGAACGAATAAACTAGTGTTTCAGGGGGTGTAGGTTCCCTATTCGTTACTTTTCCTTAATAGTATAGATGTGGTACTTCAAGACGTTTAGTAGGCATGGTGGCATCAGGTATACGGTTGGACTTGATGATCTTTGAGGTCTCTTCCAACCATAATGATTCTATGATAGTAATCTTCTCCCCACCCCCCCTACAGTAACAGGTATATTTATTGAAATAGACTTCTTGTGCTGGTTTTCTCCTTGTGGAAGCATTCAGTGTTAATCCAGTGCTGAGAAGAACTTTCCAGGCTCCTCCTCTCACAGCTCCATGTATTAGCTAATGAATTTACTGTCTTACTGTTACTCAACCGCAACATCCGATTTAATTGTTAAAGATTAGTACTAGCTTTTAAAAAGGGCTTGTTTGAATGCGGGTGCAGAGAGTCACGTCTTGGTTGCTTCCACTGGAACCATGCTCTCGAAGTGATGGAACATGTTGCCTGGAACAGAGTAACGACTTCCAAGCAACAAAATCCTTGACTTCCCTTCTCTCCTGCCCAAACGACAAGCACTCCCAAGCACTCGTGCTTGACAAGAAATTAACCTGGCCTTGTGCCCACGCTGTAAGTAAACACCAGGAGAAGCAGTCAGAAAGGTGCTGCTTCGTAGCTGCAGCTCTGGAGGGTACCGTTTGGCAGCAATTTGGTGTGGGCACCAGCTGGTAAAAGCTGCCAACTTTTAGCTTTCATGGTACCTGCCCCGCATTCATGCTGGGAATTCCTATGGATAAATGACTTTCTTCAGAAATGAATACACTACTGGGACTTGCTGTCGTTTCTTGTGAACTGTAAGGAGTTTGGGTTTTTTCAGTCTTGTGCTCCATGGTGGCACCATCCTTAGGAAATCTGTATTTAACCATTTCTGTAATCTGTTTTTCTACTTTACTGTTTTGGCCCTTTTATGAAACAGTTTCTCTGTGGATTTTAAGTTGTTGGGTTTTTTCCCCCCAAGCATTTTGAAAAATTGGGAGGCATTTTTCTACCCTTATTAAAATGGAACATGTGTTTTCTTTACCCAAACGAGCCTGCTGTTCAGGACTAAAAGCTCACTTTGGAATGGTTTGCTCGCTTGCTAATGCATATGATCAAGAATTCAGTCTTAGAAGTGGTCATATAATAATTAGTTCCTAATGATGCCATCTTTAAATGGATAATGTTTTGAGGTCTCATTAGGTATTATAGCATAATGATTTTCTGATACTACTTGTAAAATGCTGCTCGAGGAGAGTGGATTTTGTGAGAAATGTGTCCTGAAATAATGTCATGTTGTGTTTTGTTTTTTGTTTTTTTCTTTTGAAACACAGACATATCAAGTCGACCTGAAGCCAAACGGGTCAGAAATCATGGTAACAAATGAAAACAAAAGGGAATACATTGAGTATGTATACGAGAAATGTATCCTGAAATAATTTTGGTTTATTTTTGTTTTTTTCTTTTGAAACACAGACATATCAAGTCGACCTGAAGCCAAACGGGTCAGAAATCATGGTAACAAATGAAAACAAAAGGGAATACATTGAGTATGTATACATTTATGGAATTTATCCTGAGTGTAAGAAAGCACAGTTGTACTTGTCTTAGGATTTACCCTACTGCACCTACTGTAGTTTGCACTACACTAGAGCATCAAAGATACTTTTAAAAGAAAATCTTACTGTTAACATTGTTGATACCTAATCCTTAGAAAGCTGGAATTTTAGCCTCTTCTGTTCTATGAATTACAGTAATCAGGGGAGTCTGTGATGTAATAGGACACGCTTTTCTTGATGGGTAGGCATGGCGAACGTTCGGGAAGAGACAGGATAGCTCTGAGCGACAGACACCTGCATCTGAATTCTTCAGTGAAAAGAAATGGCACCTCTCGAATGCCATGCTTACCATGTTAACGTCGACATAGCCATTTTGCCCCACTTCACGCCTGCTTCTGCCTGTTGCCCAAGTGCCATGGGTAACTAGCTCTGCTTTCTAGAGCTCCAGCGCAGCGATGAATTGCCACCCCAGGAGTTACTGTTTCTCCCGATGAACTGCTGAGTTGCAGAATACAAATAAGTGCAGAGCTGAACACTAAACTGGATCTAGAAAAAAGAACCAAAATAGGGTGTCTCTATAATTTATCAAGTTCATATTTGCTTGCCATTGTGGTCTTCATCCAAGGAAGAACTCAGGAACCCTGTAAATGTTTAAGCGTTCCTCGAAGAGGAGAACTTTGTATTTGTTTGTTAAGCACATTTGTGATGTTGTGTTACAGTGATTTGGCTGTAATGGTGGAACAGTAAGAAATTTCTGGTTTCATGTTTCTTTTTTTTTCCTTACTTTGTGTGGAATATATTTGCCCTGTCAGCTCTAATTTTTCAAGTACATCTTTTTTTCAGTTTTCAGATGCAAAATATTAGACAGCGTAAACTTTTTTCGTCTCCATCATAGTGCAGAAACAAAAAGCTCTTAGAGAATGTGTGGGTCAAAATTCAGAACTGAGTTAGGTTTACATCTAGGTGATGCTTTCATGGCTAGTCACAGCATTTTTTATAACTTTAGTGTCAATACTTGTGTGCTTTCATCTGTATGCTCTCATTTGGAAATGATTAATCCAACTTCAAATTTTCCAAATATTTTTCCTCAGAATTCCATTATGATAGAACTATTCTAGTTGTATTTTAAAACAAACAAAAAAACCCCACCAACAAACCCTACCAAACTGCAGGTGTAGTCACAAATTTAACTTTTTTTTTCCTCTGTGTCTTAACATCCAAATGATGCATTCTTGTGCATATGTAGTGCTTATGGGATATCATGTAGATAATGAAGAATCATCGTCTAGTAGAATATCTGGTGTTTTGTTTGCATTATTTTATTAGCTAATATTTATTGCAGCAAAGAAGGAAAAATAGCTACAACTGACTAAATAGCTGCTACTTAAAAATCAACTGTATTTCTTTAAGCATTGTGAGAAAATCACACTAGGAATTTTCTACTAACTATCAAATGAACAGTATCTGGTGCTGTAATGCCTTCTTTGAAAAGTCCGTTTACATAACATTGGCCAGTGTAAGAACAAAACCAGAGTAAATTGAATTAACTGCTTGGTTTTCCTGAAATCCCCACATAGGAAACATGCTTCTCCAAAGTCTGGCTCAAAGCGCCCAAGTTGAAACGAGCCAGAAGGTGCTCTCCAGCCTGGCCAGCGTCGCGTTACCCTTCTCTGCTGCTTACACAGACCAGAGCCACGGTTTCAGTACCAGTGTTGCTACCAAAAATTGGCCGAATCTTGAATTGTGTTTAATTTTAAGCTTCCTCAGTTTTTGTGCCTAGCAGAATGTAAAATTATAATAAATTCAACTATACTTGCTGGCATTCTTAGTTGGTGCCTCTTCAAAGGTGAGAAAGCATTATAATTGCTACATTCATGCAAATTAGGGAAGAACCATCCTTCAAACTTGGATTTCTAAAGTGTTCTTCTGGAACCTGTGAGGTATTTATGCTGCAGGTGGTTAGCATTGCAGTACAAGCCTTCTCCTTTGAGACTGCAGGTTTTAGTCATCTCTCTCTTTCTTTCTTTCTTTCTAGGCAGGCTGTTAGATCTAATTACATCTGTCCTCAAATTATGTAGACTTTGTTGGGAATTGTTAATTACTGAGAGCTCTGGAAGAATAGAATGTTTAGTCATGTAGGGACCCAATACTAACAGTAAATACGTCAGCCCGAGTCTGGATTACAGCCTCATTGAGAAAGCAGGCAAGGCTAGTACAGACTTTGTAGGCTTTTGAAGGCACAGGCGAGCCTTTGTGCCTTGTTCGTCCTGGGGTTAATCTCCATAGGAACAGAAAGGTTAACACCGGACAGCGTGACAGTGTTACATTAAAAAATTCTTGGAGATTTAGAAATGTCATAGCTGTAAAACTTGGAAGCATATATGTGGAGTTTGTGTTGCATGCTAAAGTGAAAATACTTGTACTATAACTTGTTTGTAGTCACTGGGTTTTTTTCAAGAATTTGATCAGTCACATGTGATAAATTTGAACAATTACTAAAAAGCTGGTGCATTTCCTTAACACCAGAGTGGCTGGGAGATGGCTGAAGTTGTAAATGAGAAACTGAAGCTATTAGGGTTGCTAAAATCTCTAAACACTTCGTTTGCAGCCTTCTAATGAATTTGTTTGTGTTTTTGTTTATCTATCATCTAATCTACTACAGCCTGGTCATCCAGTGGAGGTTTGTAAACAGAGTTCAAAAACAGATGAATGCTTTTTTGGAGGTAAGGTTCTTTAACTGCCTCTTCTTACCCCCCCAAACGAAATTTTTTTTTTTTTTTTTTTTTAATGCAGACTTCTCACACATCAGTGTCTGTGTGAAGGCAGTGGGGAGCTTTGCATAACCGCACAAGTTCTGGAAGGCTTATGTTTTGTGATTTTACAGTTTTATTGTGTATAAGAATATATAATCTTTCCCTTATGAGAATAACGTCATTCTCTTTCAAGCTTAAATTGTTTGAGCTTGAAATAATCCAGTGATTAATTTTTTTAAATTAGGGACTTCAGCAACTGTGTATTCCATTCTCAAAGCCCTTCTTTGTCCTCTGTCGTTGACTTGGGTTCCCTGAAGCCAAAGATCCTGTTAGATAAAAACTTAATTTTACATGGTATGAGAATTTTATCTTCGCTTTGCTTTCTTCTAGGGCTTCACAGAACTTCTTCCTATTGATCTGATTAAAATTTTTGATGAAAATGAACTAGAGGTGAGTTTGTTTAATTGACATCCAGAGACAACAGCTCAGTAATGCTCGTCACAAAAAGACGTGTTATGTTCTAGGCTCATCATTCGTCGCTTATTGATCGTAAGTGAACGTGCAGACAAAGATGCTTTGCTTGTAGTGGGAAACAAGATTTTTCTCCCTAATTAATCTGTTGATGACATAAAAGCACAAAAAATTGTAATTGTGAGGTGGTTGAGTATGTGGATGTAAAAGCATGTCAGTGTCGTACTGAATTAGTGCCAGTATGCCTATACTGGTCATATTGTGAGGTAAATACCATAGAAGATGCTGTCACACGAAGCATACCTACGTCATAGTGTACAGTGTTTCTCCAGTAAGATGAAATAGAATTGTCCTGAAGAGAAGCTCCAGCTCTCCTTTATCTTTGCATTTGTATTTACAGCACTTAGCTGTTTTGAAGGTCAGACAACAGAGGGAAAGTGTAGCCTTGTTTTTCAGATAAAGTGTGCAGGATAACACGAGATCATCTTCAGTTAACACTGTAACAATGTACTTCCGATTGCAGTTGCTGATGTGTGGCCTTGGCGATGTTGATGTTAATGACTGGAGACAACATACCATTTACAAAAACGGTTACTGCCCAAATCATCCCGTTATCCAGTGGTTCTGGAAGGTAAGACTGGTTTAACACATTTGGCTTCCCTTGACTGTTCCTAGAAGTGAAAGTATTGTTTTGCAGAGTCCATTATGAAATCTTTTTTCCTCGTGAAAAGTGCTGAAGAATACACCTGTCTATGCTGGGAACGACAGCTGTGGTACTCATTAGAGACCATACTAGAAACAGACAGACCCAAGATAGGGAGTCGGATCTTTGGTTCTATCTAATCTAAAGCGTCTTGCAGTCGTTGTGAAGTAAAGTGCTTATATGAAAACTGTGAGTCCCCAGACAAACTACTAAAATACTTTCTCCTGTAATAGCTCTAGATTTTTCAAAGGGGTGTCTGTTTTTCTTAAAAATACAGGAATCTTACAGCTTCGTGTATGTACTTCAAACTTTGTTTCTGGGTTTCTTACATCATTTTCATGCCCGTGGGTGGTATACACGAAGACTGTGTACTGGTATGAATGTGAAAGGCTTGATGCTGAGGTCCTGCTGCAGTGCCACCCTGCTCTGATCGTCCGTGAACCTTTGTGGTCTCTCCCTGACCCCCAAGGCTTTTCTGCCACCTCCATTTCCCTGCTCTCCCCCTTGGGTGTATTTGCAGTGGCAACCCACCCGCTGTGCTGCGTGGGTGCAGGCAGGCGCAGGTTACTGATGACTGCTCGTGCCGAAAGGCCGGCCGCCTCCAGCGACGGCTCCTTGCTGTGGTACAGCCACAGCTGGAAGAGGATGCTCCTTATTTAAACAGAGACAACCTGGTCTGTGACCTGTATCACATCCTGCAGAGTTACCTGTCTGTTACAGTCTAACGCAAATAGGTAATTTACTTAGGTTTTGTTCTGGTTTTTAACAATGACACCTACAGCAGTGACTGTGTATGTTTGTCAACAGGCTGTTCTACTGATGGATGCTGAAAAACGGATTCGGTTACTGCAGTTTGTTACTGGGACGTCACGCGTGCCTATGAATGGATTTGCTGAACTTTACGGTGAGCTTTCTTTCAGCTGCCCGCAGATCACACTCACCGCTAGAATGGCTGTACGGACCACTTCTGAACGTCAGCGAGAAAACCTGGGCACCACTGCAATGTAGTCATAGCCAACCTTCGACCCTCACATAAGAATTCTCCTCTGGATACCAGGAGCACTGGAGAATTTGGGGGGGCACATTGAGAAGGAGTAAAGTTTTGTATGCCGTGGGCGTTACGCAGACGCTCTCTTCGCTCCAACAGGGAAAATGTCAGCTGTCAGCAGGAGCGATATTCATGTCATATAAAGAAGAGGAGAACACGTGTTTAACCAAGCACTTCAGTTTTGAAATGTTAATGTCTGAGCTTACTTCTTTTGCATTACATATACTCTACGCGAAAGGTAGTTAGATAAACTTAACAAGCTAACAGGGCTTGGACATGAATAACCACATTCCTATTTGCTTTAATGTAGTTGTAATTAAGAGAGTTTGTAGGCTAGGTTTTTCAACCAGTACAAAATACCTTGTACAATTTACATAAATGTTTAATCTTAAAAATAATATTTAAGTAGTCTCTGAAGTGTCCAGCAATTTCTATTTCATGTGATTTTCCTTTTCAACCAGGTTCAAATGGTCCTCAGCTGTTTACAATAGAGCAATGGGGAAGTCCTGATAAACTGCCCAGAGCTCACACATGGTAAGTCATAAAAGCATACAATTATATAGCTTTTCTGTGGTATTATCCTGCCAAGAAAGGGGGAAACTGATGACTGTGCATGTCACTAACATATTTTAGCTCTGGATCATACATCCCATTTTTACAAAAAAAATGTGGGCATGTATGCAGGTCTGTACTTAAAAGGCAAAGAACAGTTGGTGATTACCTGCTGGCACACAGCTGCAGAATGCAACGTGCAAAATTCCAGGAGGCAGCAGGGCTCCGCTTCGGCACCCGGCTGTTGCTGCTTTACCCTTTCTGAACAAGGCTGGCTTTGCCTTCCCATGGAGGTGCCCAAGGCTGCGTTAACAGAGTAGGTGTAGGTGTTCTGCAATAAATGCAGGAGAATGAATCCGAAATAAACTCTTTCCATCATAGCCTTTCTGGTACAGACCTTTTAAGGCTATTTGGTTGTATTCCAAGTAACCCTTTCAACTCAGGACTTACAGTAACTGCTTGCGTATTAGAATGTGTGTTAGAGAGAAGAGAGCGCTTTTCCCCACTTCCATTTTGTACAACATTTGAAGAAATTGCTGCCCATATATACCAAATGTTAACTGTCATATTTGAAGCCATATAGGAGCTTGCAGATTGCTTTAAGCACTGGCCAGTTAAATGGAAGTAATTTGAATCCCTTCTGCGAGACGAGTTCTCCCTGTATCAAATACCTAAGAATCCGTTCATGCAAGGTACTTGCCACACGATCCAAATGGGAGCACGTGAAGCACATCACAAAGTGTACTGTACGCCAAAATGTTGTGTGGAATCTGGGAGTAGGATCCTCAGCGCCTGCTGGGGAAGGTCCCAAGATCCTGCACATTGTCACCACATCTGTCTCCCTGGCTGAGCATCCTGTTCAGGTTGCACTCCATTCCACCACAACCACCTAATGGTTTCCCACTGCCTTTCACATTAGGAAGGCTTTATGACCCACCCCCCCCAATTTCCTGGGAAGCAGAGAAGCAGCCATTACCGGTAAGGACACGTAGTCACAGCACAGTCCCGTGAGGCATCAACGATGCTGCAGAGTAGTGACGAGGGCAGGATGGGAGCAGCTATCCCTTTTGTGGCTCCTGTCCAAACAGCAGTTGGGAAAAACAGCAGGAGGAATTGCACCTTATCCTTTAGTTATTTTTCTATGAATGTTAAAACATAGGCTCTGCTCTTCTCTGTTTGGTCAGTCTGAAGGCTTTGAAAAAATACAGGATAGGCAATAAACTGTCCAAGGGAGAGACCATTTGTTAAACAGGGCACACTGGAAAGAAAAACAGTGCCTCGCCTTGTAAGGCTAATACTGTGCATTGTGTCACGTCTTCCTCCTTCCTTCTGGAAAAGTAAGAAGTAGAAGGATATCCAGGAGTTGGAAGAGCAAGGCTGCCACTTGTACAAGTAGGGGTTGCTGCTTTTGTTTATTTCCCCTTGGTGCTGTGATTCTACTTTGGCTATCACTGCCCTCAGCTGTACCACACTGCAGGCGGCTTTTACTCTCGCCATCATTTTCCGTTTCTCATTTTCCCTTTCTCATTTTCCATGATTTTATTTTGCCTTGTCCTGGTAAGTGGGTATAATGAACTACAGAAAGTCCAGTGTAACAAAACATAGCCACAGAAAGCCATGCTACATAAAGGCCATAAATGTGAGGTCATAAACTGACTTAAATTATATAAATTAGGATTGAATTATTTTCAAATTCTATAAACATTTTTGTTGGAAGTACTCAATACAAATCTTGGTCTTGCTCTACTGCATACATTTTTAGAGTAACTTGAATTGTGCTGTATAAGAAAACTAATTTTTAGAACATTAGGACAGAATGGTAATTTTCTATAGAAAGAATCATTCTATAGAATAAAGTAATATTAAAAAAATAAAAACACACACACAAAACCCCAAAGACATTCCAAAATTCAGCCCATCCTCTTTACATCTCAATTATCTGTTAGATTTTACAGGATCTTTTCAAGATCTTCTTTTGGATGTTTTTTATTCTTCCAGAGGGTAGAGAGTCTATCCTATGAATTTAGAAGATCTTTGCTGAGTCTTAGGGAACCAGCCTTTTGACAAAGATGGAATGTTTTCAATCAACTAAATACGGTGTGGGGGTTCTGTTGGCTTTTTTCCTTTCCCAGGTGGTTTTTAACAGATGCCCACTGTCAGCTCTGAAAAGCAAGGCAGCACACAGTTACTGCTGAAAACTGTCTGTGGTCCAGGCAGGGCTGGCTTCGGACTCTACCTGCGGGGAACACAAGCGTTAGCTGGGTTTGCAGAGGACACGGTGGAGATCCCCCTCAGCTGAGCAATAAGATATTCTCTCTGAAGGCCCCCAAGCCATTTAACCTTTGCTATACTTTTCAAATCGTGTGTACTTCTCAGTGGATTATTAAATGATTCTTTTCCTTCTAAATTCCAGCTTTAATCGCCTAGACTTACCTCTTTATGAATCTTTTGAAGATTTGCGAGAGAAGCTCCTGATGGCAGTTGAAAATGCTCAAGGCTTTGAAGGAGTGGATTAAAACGCTGACCTTCTTTTCCCCCTTCAAGCAAGTTCTGCTTGCACTTTCGCATTTGCCTAACGGACTCCGAGTGACTGCGGCAGAACAGTTGCACGGCCTTGGTTCACGGAGCAAACCCGTCGACAGCGCAATTGCCTGAATCCGGACATCTGAACTGTAATCTGTGGGTGGCTTTTCCGACATTCCCGCAGCAGATTACCAACCGCTTCACGTGAACTCTGATCACATTTCAAAAATTAACTCTATTTATGTTGTGCCTCTGTAGGCAAAGCCCTTAATAAATATTTTACATAATTTCTAATGACAATGAATGGAATTAATCATTTTACAGGTATAGTATTACAACTCATGTTTACTTTTTAATTGATTTAGACATTTTCAGATTTTATTTCATTACAATTAAATATCATATACTTGGAAAAAATTAGCATTTTTCTTAATTTCGTACCAGACTTTATGCCAGTGTCATTTTTTCGAAGCACATTTTGAGCCTTGTGTTCCTAAACCGTGAAGAAAGTAGGAGAAAGCCTACTTGGAAATTTTCTCTATGTGGGCTATATGTTGAGAGCAACTCTTTTCATTGAGCACATAAGTATTTTTCTGTATCCAGAAGTATGGACTGGATGTTGCATTTTTTGGTATAAATATTAGAATAGTTACAAGTCAAGGGAGAATCATAACATAGCATGCCAAATCTCATGTTCAGTAAAGAAATTGCCTCATCATTGGTAATATTTACATGTACTATAAAGCATTTTGGGGTAGGGTTGGCATTCATCACTTTAGGAAAATATGCTAAACCCTGTTATTATCTTTGTATAGCGATTCTTTTATTATCCTTTCCTCTTTACTGTTTGCAATGGAGGCATTTTGAATGAAACCTGGCACTATGTGATTTGGCACTATGGAAAACAGATCTGGTTTGTCTCCTATTTGTATGCATTTGCTAATGGTATCTAAATAACAACGGGGTTTTTGTTTCTAACTGCACCAACTCTAAAGGCACTTTATGTAACACATGGAAGTCATATCTGTTTTTTATCATAAGCATTAATGTGATTATATTCCTTCTCACTGCACACGTCTTTCTGGTGCAATATCTATCAATTGTGAATTTGGCTGCTGCTGATGTATAAAAGAAGAAAAAAACCCACCCAGATGTAGAGCTGAGCCTGCAGACATGTTCCTCAGCAATTGTTTCTGTGATTTATTTTTTACTTAATCACAAAGATTTATTTAACATACCCTGCTATCTAATCAATTTTGTTACCTATGACATGTTGCATGCTTAAACTATAATGTCTGAGTTGCATCTCTTTTGTGACGGATTAAAAGTGAAAGATTTGTATTTGACCCACTGAAGTTAAATGGTTACAGTACTACCAGAGTAGGTCTGAGGTACGGCTTTGGCAATTTAACGTTCAAGTTGTGTAAGTTTTGCCCACATACATTCTTACCTAGAGACGATAGAGGCTTTTTCCCCCAAGAAACCATTTAACGCTTATGAAGCAAGATGATGCCGCATGCCAAAACAAGATTTCACCTGACTGCCAACAGCGTTTTTAGCCCTGCCCTCGCCCCCTCCCAGCTCCCCCTGGCCAGTACAGTCTATGTCTGGGAACGAGCAGCCGTAACAGTGGCACAGTACTACTTCAGCTGGAAAGGCGGCTACTGGAGAGAAGCCTTAATGCTGCATAACGCTCAGCGAAGGGTTGTGTGCTCACAAAAAGTTTGAAGAGCTCACGGATGCGTGAGGAAGGTTGGTCGTTTTTACGATTTGAACACAGGCCAAGATTCACTTCCTATTAAAAATGTCTCCTGACATTCCTTCCTGACCTTTTACATTTGATGGTGAGCTTGAACTGAGAACGTGGACTGCACCTGAGCGGACAGAGAAATGCTATAGTGATGGTTTAGCTGTGGGGAAGGTGGAGAGAGTGAGGTAGATCCAGGTATTTCCACTGACCTTCTCCAGGGTAAGCAGAGCTGGTTATAACAGGGATGCCCTCGAGGGAAGGGTCATACTCTGACATTTGTTCTCTTTCTGTCTTAACCTGGAGGATTTTTGGTGTGGTTGGAGGCTCTGTTCATGCATTGGAACCTTAAAAACTCCTGAGGCTTTTTTGGTTGTGAAACTGAAATGTAAGTCTCATGTATGGATGAAGGAGTACAGCCGAGGTAAAACCAGAAGTCGGGTTGCGTGTAACAATCTGCCATTCCTCCTGCGGTGATCTTGCTTTGGTCCCTTCCCTCCCCCTCACTTACTTATACTTACCTACATCAAAGCCCTTTGGGCTATCTAGAATTACATAGAAAGGGAAATTTTTGTTGTTTGGATTTATTTTTTTTAAAGAAAATTTAGAATGACTTAGCTTTGTGGATCTTTTCAGATCCATTCACCTCTCAAACTGACAGACACTCCAAAAGCATTCACTAGGTATTAAAATAGTGAGGCAAATTCCACTCTATGAATTTTAATTCATGTGCATTTGGATTGCTGTGGTTTATTTGAGAGACTGATACACCCCTCTCATCAGGCAAAAGTTAAGATCTTCTATGCTGTGGCAAAGCCCAGGAAGTTACCTTCAGTTTTGCAATAAACTCTGTGAGGCTAAGAGTAAATGGCGTTAGCTGTGCGAAGTAGAAGCCCCAGAGGAAAGGGATTTTCTTCTGCACAGCTCCAGTAAACCAAAGCCGTGGTGCTGCTACCGAGAGCCTAAGCTGGATGCCAGACTTTCCATCAGGGAGCTCCTGAAGCTACATCAGACAGCATCTTTCTAGGAAAGAAGGTAGCTGAATGTCACATACTTTAAACACCTAAAACACAAAGCAACTAACACTCCCCTGGGACTCGTACCATAGTACCGTGCCTGCCTTAACTTGGCACACTCCTTATATACTGCCAGTTTAGTCCATGCACCACAAAATGGCCCAACAGTAGTTTAAAAGGCTCTATTCAGCTACTTTTTTTGGTTAAGCGGTCAACATAAAGGTAGTAACTAAACCATTACTTGTTTGCTCTTAAGAAGCCTTAGGGCAAATAATTCATAAAAATTTTAGTCACAATACAGGGTCTGGAGCTGCCACCCCCTGTGGTCCGCGCCTTGTGAGGCTGTAGTTAATGTACACCGTACCGATCACATTAACTCCCGCTTGCATGCCTAGCTGCTGGAAACTGTGCATTTTTCTCTTCCAGTCCTAAAGCAACAAAACAAAAAAAACACACCACCAAACTGCTACCACAAGCTTTATCTTGTTTCTGTCTCCTCGACCCCTCCCCCTGTGAAGTCCCAGCGAAAGGGGCACGAGTGCCGTGCTGGCGTGACACATGCTGATAAACGAGCAGAGGATGCTGCTGCAAGGACTAAGCAGGCAGCTGGCACCTATCCTGCACCCCAAGGGATGCACTGCAGTCCTGGGCTCAGCCCCCAAACGGGGAACTCCGACTGCAGCATTCAGCCGTAACCTGTTCCTGATGCTTTGAGTAAAGCCTGTTACATGACGCTGAAGGGCCAGGAGCTGTGAAAACTAGGGAGCCAGGGAGGAGCAGCAGGATCCTTTGACTGCACTTTTAAGAGTTAAAAATAAGCGGTCATACACATGTGGTTGCAAGGGCTAATTATCAGTATGTGTAATAGAAAAAGGTACATTACCAGACGAGACATCTTAAAATGTACATTAATTTTCTTATTTTTAATAAAAACTTTTCCTTTCTTATGTAAAACAAAGGAAAACAAAAAAAAAGGTCTTCACCCCTCTGAGGTGATGTTGCACTAAGAAGTAACGCATATTTGAAATGCATAGGAAACATCTAAGACTGGAACCTAATGACATCAGGTCCGTCACAGTGCGCCTGGCACCCTCCAAGATCCCATCGCCCTCAGTGCAAACCACGTTTAGTCACGTGTCTGTCGACGCACGCTTCTAACGATCGGTTCATCCACATTTATCCCCCACTTACATGCTGGGGTTTTTGCCTTTTCTATATTATTTTCACATAGACTTTGCTTTTTTTTTTTAATTCCTTAATTTTTTCGGCTGTAGCTGTGAAACATACACAGTATGCATCCACATACAGTAGCGCCTGTGTTGCATTTTTATACTTTGCTCTGTTCCATTGGATGTAGAGAAGCTGGTGAGGTGTCCGTCTCCACTGCAGATTTGTCACAGCCATGACAAATACCACTAGTGAATAGGTAACGAGTCTCAAAACCCAAGTGGAAAAGGACATTGCTATGTTCTGTGTTTGTGAACATAAATTTTAAATCAAGTTTAAAACTGAGATTATTAATAACTTCCAAACACACACACGTGTCAAACATTCCAGATTTAAAAAAAAAAAAAAAAAACAACAAACCACCCACCATGTGAATTTAAAATCACCTCAAACTAGAAGGCTATTTCACAATTACGCTAAACTACCTTAAAATGTATTTTTAAAGTACTACTTCTAAATAATGCTCATTTTCAGAACTAATACAGCTTTAAACTGTGGTTGGATTTGACACACTGTGGGAAAAGGATTTGTTTATGGACAAGAGTCATGTTTTCCATTTATTTTCTGAGGAGCAGTGAAAGAAATTGTAGTTTGTTTTCCTGAGAGCAAAAACTCAATGTGACAAAATGAAGTTGTAATGAATTGATGCAACTTAATTAAATATTTAATAAAGAATGATGGAAGCTACAGCATTTTATACTTCAAATATATTTTTTGTCTAACTGAAGCTTTGTTTTGTTTTGTTCAAAAAAATTGCCTTAGGGCGACAGTTTGCAGGAAGGCTTGCACAACCTGGGATGTGTTGGGGGAGCCTTTGGGCAGTCACATCGGTACCCAGGTTATTTTTAAGTGATTAAACACACCATCTGCATATTTCAGCTTCTGTAAAAGTGGTTCCCAAGTTTTTCCCCATGATCCCCACTGCGTTAATGGAACAGTAATGGGTGTAACGTTTTCAGCCCAATATGGCTGTGTCCCTGAGAGGGGTTTACAGCGGATACTGGTCCCTGGGGCACAGCCACCTTCAGAAGGCATGATCCAAGGTAACTGTTCTTTATGAGGATTTGAACAAGTCATACAAGGTTAGTGATTACGCAGCGTTCTCTAAAGAAGCGTTATTAGATAAAAATACAAAAATTGCACCTCTCCCAGCTTCTTA